TAGCTCTGTTCAGATTTTATATTTCTTTTTGAGTCAGTTTTGACAAGTTGTGAGTTTCTAGGAATGTGTCCATTTCATTTAGTTATCCGATTTATTGATGTACAGATGTTAATTTTTTATGATCTATTTTATTTCTGTAAGGTCAGTAGTAACGTCCCCACTTTCACTTCTCATTTAGTAATTTGAGTTTTTTCTTATTCTTAGTCTAGTGAAAATTTTGTCAGTTTTGCTGATCATTTCAAAGTACCAACTTAGTTTCACTGATTTCTCTGTTTATTCTTTTTGCTTATCTCCATTCTAATCTTTATTATTTTCTTCCTTATGTTGGCTTTTGGTTTAGTTTTATCTCCTTTGTCTCATGCCTTAAGGTGTAAAGTTATTGATGTGAGATTTTTATGATTTTTTTATTGAAGTATAGTTGATATATAATGCTACATTAGTGTCAAATGGAGATCTTTTTAAAATGTATCTACAGCTATAAATTTCTCTCTAAGCACTACTTTCACTATATCCTATAAGTTTTGTTATGTAGTATTTTCATTTTTATTCATCTTAAATTATTTTCTTACTTCCCTTGTGCTTTTAAAGAGTGTGTTGTTTAATACCCAAATATTTAAAAATTTTCCAGTTTTCCTTTTGTTATACATTTTTTTGTGTCATTTCATTGTGATCAGAAGAGATTTCAATTTTTAAAATGTTATTATCTCTTTTTTTGTGGCCTAACATAATGGTGGATCATGGAGAGTTTTCCATGTGAACTTGAGAAAAAATTGTGTATTCTGCTGTTTGGGGATGGTGTGTACTGTATATATATATATGTTATATCTAGTTTATATTATTATTATTATTCAAGTCCTCTATTTTCTTTTCAATAATCTGATTATTCAGTCCATTACTGACAGTCTCAACTCTTTGTGTAGAACTATTTCTCTCTTTAATCCTGTCAATATTTGCTTCATATATTTGGAGGCTCTCTTGTTAAGTACACGTATGTTTATAATTGTTATATCTTCTTTATGTATGAAATCTTTTATCAATATATAATGTTCTCTGTCCCCTGTAACAATTTTATATACAGTCTACTATGTCTGATGTTAGTAATGCCATCTCACCTTTCTTTGGTTGCTATTACAACTTTCACTTTACATATTTTTGTTGGTGGATCTAAAAGTGAGTCTCTTGTTAGACAGCATATACTTGGATCATGTTTAGTTTTTTTTTTTTAATCCATCCTACCAATATCTGCCTTTTAATTGGAAAGTTAAATCCACTTATTTAAAGTAATTATTGCTCAGGAAGGACTTCTGCCATTTTTCTTTTTCTTCTTTATGTCTTATGTCTTTGTTCCTCAATTTTTCAATTACTGCCTTCTGTTTACTTGATTTTTCAATAATGTTCTGCTTTGATTCCTTTCTAATTTTATTTTTTTCAGTTTTTAAGTTATTTTCTTGGTGATTGCCATGGAGATTACAAGTAATTTCTTAAAATTTTAACAATCTATTTTTTAAAGATTTTTATTTTTTTCGTAAGAGACAGAGAGAGAGAGAGAGAGAGACGGAGAGAGAGATTGGCAGAGACACAGGCAGAGGGAGAAGCAGGCTCCATGCAAGAAGCCCAATGTTGGACTTGATCCTGGGACTCTGGGATCACACCCTGAGCCAAAGGCAGACACTCAACCGCTGAGCCACATTAAGCCACATTGTTAAGGCGTCCCTTAACAATCTATTTTGAATTAATACTACCTTCCTTTAATAGTATACAAGAACTCCTATACAGTTCCATTACATCCACTTTATGTTGTCACAAATTACATCTTTATACACTGTGTACTCATTAGTACAGATTTATAATTATTGTTTTATGTATTTATTTTAAATTATATTGCAAACAAATAGAGGAGATACAAACCAAAATTACTGGCTTTTTTTTTTTTTTTAAGATTTTACTTATTTATTCATGAGAGACACAGAGAGAGAGAGGTAAAGGCAGAGGGAGAAGCAGGCTCCGTGTGGGGAGCCTGACATGGGAGTAAATCCCAGGATCCCAGGATCCCAACCAGAGCCAAAGGCAGACACTCAACCATCGAGCCACCCAGGCGCCCACAATACTGACTTTTGTTTAGTAGTTACCTTTACCAGTGCTCTTTGTTTCTTCATATGTCTTCAAGTTTCCGACTGTTGTCCTTTCATTTCTGCCTGAAGGATTCCCTTTAGCATTTCTCATAAGGCTATTCTACTAGTGATGAACTGCTTTAGCTTTTGTTATCTGGGAGTAGCTTAATTTATCCTTCATGGGAATATATTTTATTTTAATTATTTAATTTCTTTATCATGAGAATTATTAGAAGGATATAGACTTCTTGTTTGATAGTTCTCTTTCATCTCTTTAAGTATGGCATCCCACTGACCTCTGGACACCATGGTTTCTGCTGAGAAATTGAGTGTAATCTTATTGAGGATTCCTTGTACCTGAGTCACTTTTTTTTTTTTCTGCTTTCAAGATTCTTTCAACATTTAGTTATAATGTGGCTGACCTAAGTGTAGATCTGTTTGTTTATCCTTTTTGGGGTTTGTTGAGTGTCTCAAATGTCCAGATTCATGACTTTAATCAAGTTGGAAGCTTTTTGGCCATTATTTCCTTAAATTTATTTTGTTCCCCTCCATCTCTTTTTCCTTCTATCATTCTAAAATTCCCTTTATGTGTATGTTGGTATGTTTGGTGGAGCCCCATAGGTCCTTTGAGCTGTGTTCACTTTTCCTTACTCTTCTTTCTTTCTGCTCCTCAGTCTATATTATATTAATTGACCTGTATTTTAAGAATTGCTGCCAGCTCAAATCTGCCATGAATACCTCTAGCGAGTTTTTCCATTTCAATTATTGTACTTTTCATCTCCAGAATTTTTTTTAATAATTCCTATCTCTTTATTCATATTTTTTGTTTGTACATCATTTTGGTTTGCTTTAGCTCTTTGCCCACAGTTTCCTTTAGCCTTATCATAAAATCTAATACAAGAATCCCTGGGTGGCGCAGTGGTTTAGCGCCTGCCTTTGGACCAGGGCGCGATCCTGGAGACCCGGGATCGAGTCCCATGTCGGGCTCCCGGTGCATGGAGCCTGCTTCTCCCTCTGCCTATGTCTCTGCCTCTCTCTCTCTCTCTCTCTCTCTCTCTCTCTCTCTGTGTGACTATCATAAATAAATAAGAATGAAAAAAAAAAGAATATCTAATACAATTGATGTAAAGTCTTTGGATAATAAATACAATGTAGTTCCACCGAGAGGGTTTCTGTTAATTTCTTCTTTAAACAGGCCTTACTCTCTTATTTCTTTCTATCCTTTGTAATTTTTTGAGAACTGAACATTTTGAATATAATAGTGTGGTAAATCAGAATCTTCTTGGTCCTTGGGTTTTGTTTTTGTAGTATGCTGTGTGAGTCCTAGTTTGTTTGATTAGTGATGTTTCTAAAGTATTTTTATAAAGACTGGATTCTTTGTCATGTATCATCTTTGAAGTGTTTGATCTTTGGCTTTTGGTCAGCAAGTGCCCTGACAGAGATTTCGTTGAACACTTGAATTCCTCCCCCATCAGAAAAAAAGGAGAGCAAAGAGAAAAGAAAAAGAAAGGAATAGAGAAACAAAGGGGAGGGAAATCTCCTGGTATTTGTAGATTGAGTCTGTGTTAAGGTATTCTTTTAATGCTTAGCCAGGCTGTTTAAAAGTATGCCTTAGCCTTCATTTCCTGCTTGTACTGAGCCTAGAGATCGGGAGAGGTGAAAGATTAAGATCTTTTCAGGTCTCTTCTGAGCATGCGTCCTGCCCTACGTATGCACGTGACTTTCTAAATTTCCCTGTACATGCAAGCCTTTTTCAGTATCTTAATTTCCCAAAGAAGCTTCCTCCCTAGCTTTTTATCTCACGCTTTCAGTGTGTTTCTTGTTTGATTCCCTCTAAGAGAGATGAGTTGTTCATTTACCTTTCAATATTTGTGGAGAATGCACTATGCACAGCTGCTTTACCACCTGAGAGAGCTCTGAATTTAAAAATGAAGATTAAAAAAACACACACACACACACACACCAGACAAGTGCTCTGCGTTAGTCCTTTAGGTAGCCTCCCAGATGGGTTCAAAGAGAGAAACCAACTCCACTGAGAATAAGGTCTGCTCTGTTCCCTCTGGAACCAAAGCCAGAAGGCAGACTGCTATCTTTAAGACCAACACCATACTGGAGAGGAGAGTATGGCAAGAGTGAGTAAAGATGCCACAAAGCTTTCCCATTCATTATAAGTTGCCCTTTTTTTGATCTAGTACTTGCTTAGAAGTTTGTCTATTTTAATCTTTCAAAGAACTAGTTTATAGTTTTGCTGAGTAACAAAGGCCATTAAAATTAAAAACTTTCTTCTAATTACCTTTTAAGTCCTACTTCACAGATTGTTCACTATACAGGATTGTTAATTTATAAACATAGAAAAAAAACAATAAGTGTAGTAAAGGACTGTCTGAGGGTATTCCTGTGTTCCATGCCAGCTGAGTGACCTTGGCAAATTAGCTAACTTCTCTTCACTTGTTTCTTCCTCCAAAAATGGAGAGTAACAACAGTATGTATCTCATAGGGTTGTTGTGAGAATTAAACCAGTTAATATACGTGAAAGGCCTAGAATAATGTCTGGCATATTTTAAATATTATTAGTTGTGGTTGATATTCTTTGTGAAAAAGCAGTTTCTCTAAATATTTCATAAACATTTGAAGAGTATAAAATTGCATGGAAGAGTTTCTATAAAAATTAAAAATGGTAATTATGTTACCTAAATCTTCTATATTTATGTTTATTACTCGGCATTTGTCATATTCTAAAAGCTATAGATTACCCATCTACCATTGCAATTTGGCCAAAGTATTTCTATCTTTGCTTTATATGTTTCAACATTTATTTGTTAACTGACAGACTCAGAAAATGTATATTAAAATATGGTAGTTTATCAAGAAGAATAAAATATGAATTACCTTTGTCTTCTTTTATGATTTTGTCACATTGAACATCTTTATTCTTTGGTGCTCCATTAATAGTTTGCATCATCCTTTCAACATATAAGTCATTGCCTAATCTATTTCTACAAAGGGTCTCGTAATTCTTGTTTCTCCGACTATAAAAAATAAAGTATATTCAACTCATTAATAAAAAATATTACCACAGATATTATCTCTTTATATTATGTTTTCTCTTTAAACTTACCTTTCTTAATGTGGATTACAGCAAACATGAAGCGAGAGTTCAAAAAACTCCTGAGGAAAAGATGGCACTGAACTACCTCCAAAGGATTCTATTTACTATACCTCTCAGCATCCTTGCTACTTTCAATGTCTACCAACAATATTCTAGCATTTTCTTCAGATAAGTTTTATGAACTTTGCTATAAACACTGAAAGCTATACATTTCCTTCAAAGTACTACATCTGTGTCATCCTGTGGGTATCATTTTCATAATTATTTAATTCTGAGTATTTCTTAAATTTCCATTATGATTTCCTCCTTGAATCATGAGGAATTTAGAAAATGTGCTTTTTAAACTTCCAAATGTGTATTTATATTTATATTTTTATTGAAATTTGTGTTATTAATTTTAACTTAATTATATTTGTGGCCAGAGAACTTAGTTTGTCCGATACTATTTCTTGGAAATTTTTGAAACCTTGCTTCACAACCTTGTGTGGGGATAATTTTTATAAATGTTCTGTTTGTGCTTGAAAAGAGTGTATGTTCTGTAATTGTTAAATGCTGAGTTGTGATTATTAAATTATGTTTTTGGTTCAAATCTTCTATATGTATGTGAACTTTTTATCTGAAAGACATACAGTAATTGAGAGGCATGTTTAAATCTCCTACTTTAATAGGATACTTATCAAGTTTCTAGTTTCTGCTTCATATATGTTGAGGTTATTTTATTAGGAGTATTCCAAATTAGAATTATTTTTACCTTCCTGTCATTATGAAGTGAACTTCTTTGACCCTAATAATGCCATTGGTTTAATTGTTTGCCTGTGGATGATATGCTTTTTTTTCTTCTGTTTTTAAAATCTTCTTTTAATATTTGATATCTTGGAGTATCAGTACAACACACTTAGTCCATTTCTTTTTTGTGCTTATTTATATATTTATTCCTATTTCTGAGGCATTATGTCTTTTAAGAGCTTGAGAAAGTCCTTACTTTTTTTTTTTAAAGATTTTATTTATTTTTTCATGAGAGACACAGAGAGAGAGAGAGAGAGAGGCAGAGACACAGGCAGAGGGAGAAGCAGGCTCCATGCAGGAAGCCCGATGTGGGACTCGATCCCAGGACCCCGGGATCACATCCTGAGCCAAAGGCAGATGCTCTAACACTGAGGCACCCAGGCATCTCTCTCATACTTTATATCACATTTTTCTGTCCAATGTTTATTTTGTTTAATTTATCCAGATCTAAAAAAAAAATTTATCCAGATCTATGCTTCAAATTTATTAAATCTCTGTTCAATTATGACTTCTTTAAATTTAATGTTTACTTTTTAATTCCAACAATTATGTAAACATGCTCTATTTTAGAGTTCTTTTTAGATGTTTTTGCAAATATGAGTCATCATTTTTAGTGAGGTGTTAAATCTTTTATTTAAATATTTCACCTATATGTTATATTCTATGTCTCACAATATAGCCCTAATAATATCTCAGTATCCACAGTCATCATGATGTAGATCTAGGGTTTGTTATTTCTTTTAATTCTCATTCATAATGTCTTCTTTATTGGTTTGGTGTATTTCTACCAAACTCAATCTGAGGCAATTTTTTAAAAAGATTTTATTTATTTATTCATGAGAGACACACCAAGAAAGACAGAGACAGGCAGAGGGAGAAGCAGGATCCCTGTAAAGAGCCCCATGCGGGACTTGATCCTAGGACCCTGGGATCACGTGCTAAGCCCAAGGCAGAGGCTCAACCGCTGAGCTACCTAGGTGTCCCAATCTGAGGGAATCTTAAGACCCTAAATGGGATGTGCTTTCCATCAGAGAAAATTTGTGTTTGCTTATGATAGTAGCTATAAGACCTGGGATCACTTGAGAAAATTGAAATCCTTTTAATGGTCTTTGAGGAGGACCCAAGATTTAACAGACTCTAGATGCATGTGCTAATTTTGACATTTTTTTTAAGATTTTATTTATTTATTCATGAGAAACACACAGAGAGAAGCAGAGACACAGGCAGAGGGAGAAGCAGGCTCCATTCAGGGAGCCCGATGTGGGACTTGATCCCAGGACTCCAGGATCACGCCCTGGGCCAAAGGCAGGCGCCAAACCTTGAGCAACCCAGGGATCCCCTAATTTTGACATTTGCTTCTAGCATCTCTCCCTCTCTGATTTCAGATCACTTATCTGTCCATTTGTTATTCAGAGGAAGGCAAATTATCAGAGATAAAGAGGGACATTACATAATGATAAAGGGGTCAATTCTCTCAAAAAGGCATAACGATCATTAACATGTATGTGTCTAACCACAGAGCTTCAAAATACACAAGGCAAAAACTAATGATTTAAATTTATTAATAAGGAGAAATGGAAAGTCTGCTCTGATACAGTAATTTCAGTTATTTTCCCATTACATATTTTTCCTTCTTAAGTTTTAAATATAAAAATGTCAGTCCTTTCTTAAAAGAAAGAAGTCCTTTCCTTTTAAAGATTATGGTAAAGCAATGGATTCTTCCACTAGAAAAAAGAAGGCATATACAACATAAACACTTTACATATCATTTCAAAGGGCACATATGTAACTTTATATATAATTTCACCAAGCACATATGCCACCAATATTTATCCAGGAATCCCCCAAAACAGAAACAAGAATAAGAATCTCTGACTTAGCACTTAAGTTGCAGAAGCAAATAAACAATTGAGCCATACATACAGTAGTTTCTCAGCTTCTTCAGATTCCACAGAAACCATGATGGTTGGTAGGTTAAAAAATCTCAGTGTTTCCGTCTCTGTGAGTGTTATCTCTATAGTCTTTTGTAGGTCTTCTTTTGTTACAACTTTTTCAGGTGTTGCCCTTACAACTCGTAAATCTAAAATACATGACTTAATAAGAATCATTTATTAATTGTTATTTTCAATTTTCATTTTACCAAAACATCATGATGGATCATACATTGCAGATGGCTTTATATGGTCAAAGACCATGTTGTGAGATATATTCAATTGCTCCAAAACTGGAGGAGATTATAATAATCCAATAATCCTCCTGTCTCCCTCTGATAGGATGATCTTCCATGATGCAACAAACACTGCTGAATGCCTAAATTTTCATTGCTAAGGCTTTCTCCCTTCCCTTGCTCTTTGCATTAAGAAAATCAAGCGTTTAGATTTCCTAGCCTCTCTTGAAGCTGGGGGTGATAAGAGAGAGTTCTGGCCAGTAAGATAACAGCAGAAATATATAGGAAAGAAGGTGGCTCCTGGGAAAACTTTTACTTTCCTGATAAATAAAGGTGCTACTGCCTTTCTCCCTCTCTTTGCATTTACTGTAGATATATACTCAGAGCTGAGGTAGGTATTTTGAGACCATGAAGAAAAAGCAAGAAGCAAAGTGTTAAGGAAACAGAATAGCAGCGCTGCCAATCCAGAGTCTGACAGTTAAGCCACAAAATCAAATCTAAAATCTACCCTTTAAGATCCTTTAATATGAGAAAAATAGGTGATTGTTTAAGCTAATGGTAGCTGGGTACTGTTACTTGTTAGAGTATTCCTTACATATCTTAACACCAAAGACTCTATCAAGCACTTTCCAACTTTATGAATACTTATATTAACCCTTCATTATCATCCGAGGAAGAGACACCCTTACTGCACTCCAAGGCGAATGTTCCTCAAGGAGGTACCCATTTCTTCCAGCACTTTTGATCATCCATTATTTCACCATTCTTCTATTTTCATTTTCATAATCCTTTAGCTCATATTTTATGCTCTGCCTGGAAGGAGCCACTCCTATTTGTTTTCCTGACAAATTACTAATCATTTTTTAAAACCCAGTTCAAAACTCAATAATGTTCTCTGTGAATTTTTTTTTCTTTCCCATCTCAGAGGTGCGACTTTCAAAGTGCTCCCATCACATTCTGCTTAGGTCCTATTAGGGCACTGATCACAATGTATCAGAATGACTTGTCTCCTGAGTTAGAAGCAGAATACTTCTAAAGCAGGTCTGTGGTTCCTGAGGCTGGTGGTGCAGGAATCACCTTGGGAACTTTACTACTACCCTGGTAATTCTCATGAAGCTACTCCTTAGGTCAGAATTTGGGAATCATTGCCATAGTTCTTTTGTCTGAAATACCTGACAAATAATAACCATATTTGCTAAAGAAATAATAGGCTGTTACTGAAATAAATTATAATATTTTCATTACCTGTAAAACTAGTCAGTTTTTCCCGTTTATACGAAGGTTCTTCTAGGTCTTCTGCTATTGATTCAGGAGTAGATACACTTGATTTAGTAACTGTACTGCTTCCTAAAACTGACCTTCAATAATGAAAACATGATTCTTTTATTTAGATGTTCTTATGGGTAATTAAATGTATAAATAATAACATTATCATGTTGAGAAATAAAATATACTATAATCACATAAGAAAAATTGATAAAAATAGACTACTTCTTTAAACACTGAGTTGGTTTGTAGTGTTCCTGAAGTAAAAAGTCATTATAAATGTATTTTAGAGATAAAATAGGTCAAACCTATGTTTAAAGTGCTTCAATGGGTTCCCAATATATTTAGTATGAAAAGCTAAAGTACAGTCTACCTATCCAGTCTCTCCATCTTCATTATCACTCTTCTCTTCCCCATTCTCCTCAATCTTGTGGTGCTCTCTTATTTTACAGCCTCAGCCTGGAACTTCTTTTCGCTTTTTACGAATTATTTGTCCATCATTCAAATCTCATCTTAACTATGATTTATTCAATTTTATAAGATTTGAATAAAAGAAAATGTATATACAGGTTGGGAAATCAATACATCAAAGAATACAAAAATAATTTATTTAAACATATGAACTTAATATTCCTTAATGATATTAAATACTTTTTTCCCTTTGTATTTATAAGTCCAACTGTCCTCCAAAAGGGTAGGTTCAATTTACTGGAATATTCTTTGTTTTATAGAGCATTCCTATAGCTACTGTATGCAAATTTGGAGACAGACACTCAAATGACATATTTTCTCCTAAAATTTTGTTCTTAATTACACACTAAAATATTTCCCAATAATCTTAAGATTATTTTAGGACATACTGTTTTATTATTGCATAAATTGAACTTCTCTATTGTAAGCATTACTAAAATTTCAGTGTCTACATACAAAATACATGCATAACATTTCCTTTATAAAAAAATTATGAGACAAAAGAGAAATCAAACCCTAGCAGAATAGGGATTTTCATGGAAGAATGAGGTGGTGGGACAGGGAGAAGGAAAGCTACTTCTTGCCATAAATTGCAACATAAAAGAAATTGAAGAAATATGTTCTGTGGTATGTGATGCTAGCCCCACCTTTTGATTCCTTAGGAGATCCTTAGTAAAATCTATATATTTTCTCACAAATGTTTTGGTATGTCAGGGAACTCTTAAGTTATGCAAAGCTGTACATCTAAGTAAAACATGAGGAGAACATAGATATGACACACTAACGTAGAGTGGCATTGGGAGACTGAAGACAACATCTAAATTACATATATGCAATATGAAAAGATAGTACATATGATGTGAAACAGAATAATAGAATAATATACTCTACCTTGTAAACTGCCCTAACATACTAGGATTTAATGTATTCTGATAAAGGCTATAGGAAGATATATAGTCTGATGCATATGATCCTTCTTGTGATGTCAGTAGTTTATTTGGTTTAGCTGTACCCATATGTGGGTCTGGACGGTAAAGAGGTCGGGGAGTAACATCATCTCCTTGTGGATTAATTACCTGTGGAAAATGGTAATTTAAAATGAAATAAGTAAAAAAGAAAAAAGGATTTCTGAGTAACAGGTCCTAGAAAATAGAAATAAAAGTAGTAGAAAAAATGAATACATTGTTTCTAGCATGGAATGAACACGAAAAATTGAGTAAAAGATTTTATTCTTAAAAAATTTCTTAACTAGGCATACTTTTAAAAAGCGTCTTATTCATGTTTTTACCTCTATGCAAGTAATATTATTAATTTTGAGGGAATTCAAAAAGAAAATTCACCCAGATTGTTAATATTTTTGTAAATCTAATTTTTTATGTATAAGCTTTAAAAAGCCCACATTTATTCATTCAATATTTTATTAGAAAATATTTCCCAATTTTTACATATTTTTGTTTTTGCCAATTCTTAATCTTTTCCATTTTGAAATTTAACACATACAGAAATACAGGTCTTACATTCAAGTTTTTAATCCATTTTTAGTTAGTTTTTGTATATAGTATATGTGGTCCAACTTCATTTTTTTGCATGTGCCTTTCCAGGTTTTCTAACTCTACTTATTGAAGATAGTGTTTTTCACCAGTGTATATACTTTGCTCTTTCATTGTAAATTAATTGACCATATATGTGTGTATTTATTTTGGGGCTATTTAGTTCCATTGATCTATGCGTTTATATGCAAATACCATACTGTTTTAATTATGACAGTCCTGTAATATAGTTTGAAATCAGACTGGCTGATGTCTCCAGCTTTATTCTTTTCTAAGATTGCTTTAGCTATCTAATCCTTTTAATATATTGTTGAATTTCATTTGTCAATATTGTTTAGGGTTTTGTATCTATGTTCATTGCAGATATTGGTGTGTAATTTTCTTTTCCTGTGGTGTCCTTGTATAGTTTTGGTATTTGGGTAAGGCTGGCCTCATAAAATGAATTTGGAAGAGTTTCCCCCTCTTCCTTTATTGGAAAAGTTTGAGATGGATTGATATTATTTCTTTGAATGTTTGCTATAATTCACCAGTAAAACTGTCTGGTTGTAGACTTCTGTTTGTTGGGAGGTTTTTGATTAGTGATTCAATCTCCTTAATAATAATTGGACTGTTCAGATTTTCTATTTCCTCATAATTCAATTTCGATAGGTTGTTCATTTCTAAGGATTTATACATTTCTTCTAAGTTGTCTAATTTGTTGGCATATATTTATTCATAATATTCTCTTATGATCCTTTGTATTTCTGTAGTATCAATTGTAACATCTCTCTTTTTATTTTTTTTTTTATTTATTCATGAGAAGCAGAGGGAGAAACAGGCTCCCTGCAGAAAGTCTGATGTGGGACTTGATCCAGGACTCCAGGATTACATCTTTTTTTTTTTTAAAGACTTTTATTTACTCACTCATGACAGACACACACACACACACACAGAGAGAGAGAGGCAGAGACACAGGCAGAGGGAGAAGCAGGCTCCATTCAGGGAGCCCGACGTGGGACTCGATTCTCGGTCCCCAGGATCACACCCCAAGCCAAAGGTGGCGCTAAACCGCTGAGCCACTGGAGCTGCCCACCAGGATCACATCCTGAGCCGAAGGCAGGCTCTCAACCACTGAGCCACCTAGGCATCCCTCTCGTTTGTTTTTTATTTTATTCATTTGAACCTGGTTTTGTTTATTTGAATCCCCTTTCTTTTTTTTTTTTCTTGGTGAATATAAAGATTTGTCAACTTTATCTTTTCAAAGAACCAGCTTTTAGTTTCATTGATCTTCTTTATTGTCTTTTCAGCCTCTAGTTCATTTATTTCTGCTCAAATCTGTTATTATTTTACTTCCACTAACTTTGGGCTTCACTTATTCTTTTTCTAGTCATTTGTTTCTTGAGATAGGTATCTCTATAAACTTCCCTTTTATAACTGCTTTAGCTGCATCCCACAAATTTTGGTAAATGTCCACTTTCATCTGTCTCAGGTATTTTTTTTAATTTCTCTTTTGATTTCTTCTTTGACCCATTAGTTATTCAGTAGCATCTACATATTTTTTAACGTTCCAATTTTCTTTGTGTAATTAATGTCTAGTTCCCTAACATTGTGGCTGGGAATGGTGCTTGATATGATTTCAATTCTTTTTTTAATTAAGACTCATTTTGTGGCCTAACATGTGAGCTATCCTGGAAAATATTCCATGCGTACTTGAGAAGAATCTGTATTCTGTTGCTTTTGGCTGGTATCATCCTCTCTGGGGCTCCATTCATTTTCTTCATTCTTTTTTTCCCACTCTTGTTTTTGGGTTGCATAATCTCTATAGATCTATCCTCAAGTTTGCTAATTCTTCCTTCTGTCAGTTAAAATCTATTATTTATCTCCGCTAGTGAATTTTTAAAGGTTTGACTAATGTACTTCTCTACTCCAGAATTTCCTTTTGGTTCTTTATAATTTTTTCTGGTGCAACTCAGAAACTGAATTTTATCTGATTAATTTTAATTGAGATATAACTGACACATAAGATTGTATCCACTTTAGGTATACAATATAATGACTTGATGTATGTATGTATTGCAAAATGATTACAATAATAAGTTTATTTAGGGCAGCCCGGGTGGCTCAATGGTTTAGCGCCGCCTTCAGCCCAGGGCATGACCCTGGAGACCTGGGATCAAGTCCTGCATCGGGCTTCCTGCGGAGAGCCTGCTTCTCCCTCTGCCTGTGTCTCTGCCTCTCTTTCTCTCTGTGTCTCTCATGAATAAATAAAATCTTTAAAAAATAATACATTTATTAAAAATCCATTACCTCAAGGGCACCTAGGTGGCTCAGTTGGTTAAGTGTCTGACTCTTGATTTTGGCTCAGGTCATGATCTCACGTGTTGTAACACTGAGCCTCGCATCAGACTCTGTGCCCAGCAGACGGTCTGCTTAGGGAGTTTCTTTCTTTGTCCCTTCCCTCACTCACTCTCTAAAATAAATTAAAAAATAAAATCCATCACGTCACATAGTTACAAAATTATTTTTTGTTATGATGAGAACTTATTTTTTTAAAGATGTTATTCATTTTGGAGAGAGAGAGAGAGAGAGAGAGCCCTGGATGGGGAGGAGAGGCAGAGGGAGAAGAGAATCCCAAGCAGACTCCATGATGAGTGGGGAGCCTGTCTCAGGCCTGATCCTGGGACCCTTGACCATGACCTGAGCTGAAATCAAGAGTTTGCTGGCCAAACAACTGAGCCACCCAAGCACTCCATGATGAGAACTTTTTAAATTTTTTTTATTTTTACCTTTTTAAAAAGATTTTTATTTATTCATGAGACAGAGGCAGAGAGAGAGAGAGAGAGAGAGAGAGAGAGAGAGAGAGAGGCAGATACCACATCTTCTTTATCCATTCATCAATTGATGACTAATTCAATAATGCTGCCTTAGACATTATGGTGCATGTATCCCTTTGAATTAGTATTTTTGTATCCTTTGGACAAATACCTATGAGTGCAATTGCTGGATTGTAGAGTAGCTCTATTTTTAACTTTTTGAGGAAACTCCATACTGCTTTCCAGAGTGGCTGCACTGGTTTGTATTTTGAACAGTACATGAGGGTTTCTCCATATGCTTGTCAAAAACAGTTGTTCCTTATTTTGTTGATTTTAGCCATTCTGACAAATGTGAGGTGATATCTCCTGGTAGCTTTGATTTATATTTCCCCAGTGATCAGTGATGTTGAGTCTCTTTACTGATTTTTTTCTGAATTGGATGTGACAGTCATCATGCTTCCTTTTACTTCTTTAATCATGGTTTCTTTAGTCCTATGAAGACATTTATAAGGACTTCTCTTAAAACTCTTTTTGTTAAGTCTAACATCTGCTTCTTCCCAGTTTATATTGCCTTTTTTTTTCTTGAGTATAGGTCATATTTTTCTATTTCTCTGTATGCCCTATGTTTTGTTGGAAACTGGAGATTTTAAATTTATTTATTTATTTATTTATGATAGTCACACACAGAGAGAGAGAGAGAGGCGCAGAGACATAGGCAGAGGGAGAAGCAGGCTCCATGCACCAGGAGCCCGACGTGGGATTCGATCCCGGGTCTCCAGGATCGCGCCCTGGGCCAAAGGCAGGCGCCAAACCGCTGCGCCACCCAGGGATCCCCGGAAACTGGAGATTTTAGATAACATATTGTAGGAACGCTAGGTATTGCTATCTCCGTCCTTTCTATTGTCTTTGTAATTTCTATTTGTTTATTTGTTTAATTACCTAGATCACTTTGTGAGATCTATTTCCCCATAAAGGGTTGAACTGTGCCCCCCAAAGAAGGTATGTTGAAGTCCTCACCTCCAGTACCTCAGATTGTGGAAATAGGACTTTGCAGACTTAACCACGTTAAGATGAGATCATTAGGGTGAGAACCTAATCCAGTATGACTGATGTCTTTATAAAAAGGGGACATTTGGACATAGATACACATACAGGTAAGACATCATGAAAATACATGGGGAGAACACAATGTGAAGATAGAGAATTGAAGTGATAGATCTACAAGCCAAGAAATGTCTAGGACTACCAGAGCTAGAAAAGAAATTAACCCTTCTCTATTATATTTAGAGGGTACATGTCCACACTAACACCTTGATTTCAGACTTCTGTCCTCCAGAATTGTGAGACAATGAACTTCTATTGTTTTAAGTCATATACTTAAAATATATACTTAAGTTCATGGTACTTTGCTAATGGAGCATGTGCCCTCTCCCGTCATTTATCCCAACACAATGTTAACCCTCTGATGTTGCTTGTCAGGGACTAGCTGCTTTGGGTATCCTCACATCCATCCTGGGATGACAATGGTACTGGTAGGGCTGTCTACTACTCTTCAATACACTTAGCTGTTACACCGATTGCTGATTGCTCTACTGTTTTTTTTTTCCAGCAGTGCCCTGGGGCACAAATTCTCTAATCCAATCAAATTGTGACTACTTCCAGGGAATAATTTCTGAGGTCAGTTTGGTATTCTCACTCCAAAATGCTCCTCCTAGCTGCCTTATTCCCAGGTCC